ATATTATTAATTAACAATTCCTTATACATCATTTTTTATAAAAAAAATGCTAAAAAAAAATTCCTTATAAAATATAAAAAATGTGTTATGGAATTTTAAAAAACGTATACAAAACTTATTTATAATAATGAAAAAACATATGGATTTATGGTTGATTTACAATTAATATTTTAATATTTTCTATAGATTGATAAGGATAATGAAGAATTAGATGCTGGAATTAGGAAACAGGAATAAGATATATGACAAACTTTTTTTGGATTTTTGGTTAGAACTATTTTACAATTGAAGTATGAAACATACATGCCATCAGAATCCAAGGTATAAGACTTTATGTAGTATTACTTGACAGAGGTATATATCTGTATATCTGCTTTCAATTAATCAATAAAGGGTTGATCTGCCATCAATTTTTTTGAGTTAGTACTTATTCTCCATATGCGATCTTTTACATAAACATGATTTTGAATCGATAGTATTTGAATACAGATATCAACCCAATTAACATGTTACAACAACATTCTTCTATACCGATATGTAAGATAATACAACTAGAGGATATTCCTATGCTAAAAAGAATTAGTCTCGATCAATTTCTTTTAATTCAAAATTATTCAGATAGTACTCTATTACCTGTAAAATCAACTAAAATGATATATGTAGAGTTATCTGGAATCTCAAAAAAGGCCATTGATTATACTATTAAAACTGATATGTAAAAGAAATTATCGGATATAATTAAGACTTTTATTTACAACGTTCAGTGTAAAATCGATAATCAGGAAATAGAAAACTTAGGAAACTTAGCTGATATTAATAATCCTACCATTATTAGACATAAAGGACGACCTCCAAAAAGATTTAAAGCAAATGTTGAACAATCTTCATCTAAGGGAAAACGGGTGTTAAAGAATAGTACACAAGTTAATTTAATATAGGATACTGGAGGGTTGAATGCTATAGAAGACGAAACAAAAGATCAGAAATGTGAAAAGTGCAAGCAATATGGACATTATTCAAAGACGTGTCAAAATATTTAGTAATCATGTGATGTATTACTTATTTCTGATATTTAGCATATGTTAATACATTTTTTATGTAATAAAAAAAAGATCTTCTACAGTTTAGTTATTTAAATCACGTAATTTATACTTAATATATATTAAATGATTTTGTCCAATCATGTTTAATCATGTGATACGTGTTTATACACATAGTGTACGAATAGTAATTTCCTATTATATATATTATTATTGCATTATTAATTACAAATATAATTAGTATTATATATACCATATTATATTAAATTATAATATAATTTAATTTTTAAACTTTTATTAAATCATTTATTATGAATAATTCTATTAATAATATTATATTTTTATTTTCTTTTTTTTTCCTCCATTAATATCCTCTCTTTTATCTTTTTTTCTATTATAATTTTTATCTTCAATACTTGCATTATCATCTTCATTTGCCTTATTAAGAGATCCACTATTATTATTTGATACACTTAATCCGGGCAAAAATGGTTGAACTAATTCCATTTTTAATTTTTGTCTCATACCTCCTTCACCACCCCCAATTAAATCTTCATTTACACTTATTTGTACTACTACTTTATCAAATAATTTAATACTTATAACCTTACCATCTATAACACTTTCTAAACAATTATTGTGAGAATTATATACAATCAAAGGTGCTAGGTTTAAATCTGTTGAAACTTTTTTTGCTTTATCTGATGAAGAATATACAATTCCTTCTATGCCATATCTAAAAAGAAGGGGAATAGTCAGCCTCAATTCAATAACTTTAAAATCATAATTATAAATAATCACATGATACCTTGGTATTAATACAACGAATCCATTCTTTAATATGCGAATGACATATCCTTCGTTTTGTTCTGTTTTTCCTTTAAAAAAAATATTTGTATGCAACTCAACAGAACTTCGAGCTGCCATTTGTGCCATTCTATGTCTATAATTTAATACTTCGCAAAGTTGTAGAATTTTCTCTTTATCTATAAGTTCTCTACCATATATTGCATTATGATCTACAGATGCAGCTAACATTCGGTGTACGATTATATCAGAATACCTTCGAATTGGTGATGTAAAATGTGTATAAATTTCTGAAGCGAGACCATAATGTCTAAAATCTTGTTCAGAAGTAGTGCCCGAACAAAAATATTCGGCTTGCGTCATACACCTCGTTGTCAATATTCTTAATAGTTTATTAAAATATGCATCTTCAGGTAACTTTAAGACAGAGTAGTTAGTTATAAAAACATTTAAAAATAAAATAATTAAATATCTGAAAAATATACATACCACTGCTTCATCTAACGAGTCTGCGAGAGCCTTTGATGTTTCATAATGTAAAGTTAAACCTAAATGAGAAATAGCCTTCACTAAAACTTCAAGCAAAGATGTAACCGGTGGACGATGCCGCCTAATGAATTTCATTGTATTAGTATCTAGTTTACTATATAAACCAAAAAGAATCAATTAATTACCTTAATAATGATGTAGCCGTAAACTTTTGATGTATCTTCTCAGCAACAGATATATTAGCCAACAACATAAATTCCTCAACAAGTGCATTAGTTTCTCTCAATTCCTTCATCTCTACATCAACAGGATCTTGTGAGTCATGATCTAATTGAAACTTAACTTCAGGACTCGCAAGCGTTAATGCACCGCGTTCCATACGACGTACGCGAAGTTTTTTAGCCAATTCATTTAAAATTCTAAGGCCTTTTGTAACATCGTCATCCAAGCGCCTAAAAATTAGTATTAACTTAATTTGATTACGCTAAAATTATAAGTTATTATAAGTTGGACTTAAATTATTCTTACTGGTCATCGATACGAAGTTGTGCTGCTTCGTACGTGAAAGATTCCTTCGATGAAATGACACTTTTTGTAAAGGAAACATTGACAATTTCCGCATCTGGATTTAATTCCTAAAATTTAATCCACATAAAAAAAATTAATTTAATTTACATGTAAATTCGAAATCTCAAACCATACTTAAATATTAATACCCAAATGCATGAAAATGCAAGTCTATCAACTTTTTCTCGGAGAGAACATAAATCTGAAAAAGAAAATTAGCTTAATCAAATTAATAATGTGATATTTTATTTAATTTACTCACTCGTTCCCAATAATTCTGGTAACATATCAATTCGCTTTTGAACCAAATAAACTGTTGTTCCACGTGAGGATGCTTCGTCATCCAGTGGAGTATTCGGTTTAACAAAAAATGTGACATCCGCAATATCTAGGAATAAAAATAATTGAATTTTTTTGGGTACATCAAAAAATTATTGAAGAATTAGAACAATGACTTACGAACACCAACTTCATAATTCCCATTTGGTAACGACCGAACATGTAACGCGTCATCAATATCCGTACAGCCTAGAAATCCAAAAAGAAATTTACCTCATGAATATTTATAAATTAGCGTAAATAAACTTAATTAACGTACCAGGAGGATCAATACTACAAACATTCAGATTCCTTAAATCAACTCGTCCCTGTAAATGTTCGTCCCTAACTACCCATGATTCACCTTCAGGAGGTAAACAATTTAAGACTTGTTGAGAGAAGCTTTGATGAGGAACATCATGTTCTAGAAGCAAAACTTCTGTTTCAGTAGATTTGTCTCCTGCAATTCCAAGTGCTCTAACAAAGTGCCCTAATGGAAACCTATATATATAAATTTTAGATACTAATAATTTGTAATATTTTAAAGAAATAAAATGCAATTCTTACGTGGAATCCTTTGGCCAAGAATCAATAGCAACCAATATCCTTTGACCCATTAAGTTCTGAGCCTGTCTAGTTCTTATAATTATTTTTGGGATTCGCCTATCCATTGGATAAACTGACACATTTTCTGACAAAGTTGATGTATTGGAGCCTTTAACAGATTGTTTATTAATGAATCCGCAATATCTGTAAACCAAAATTAATTATTATAAACGTTATGAATAAAATTTATTATTTTTTATTTTCTTTAAACGTACGATCTCCAATTCCTCTTGATAATTCCAACAACTTTTCCAGTAGGTCGAGGTGCTTCGAATGATTCATTATCTATCTCTTTGGATTGTTCTTTAAGTTCGCCAGCATTTTGTAATTCTTCGACTAGAATTTTTTCTTCATCTATTTGATTCAAAGAAAAGCTAGCTTATTATGCCATTTAATATATTAAATTATATAATGTGAACATTATAATGTAAAATTAACCTTCTTCAACAATTACTGCAGTTGGGGTTCTAAGCCATTCGGACTTTGAAAGTAATTGAACAACAACAACATCTCCTTGAATGGCCCTATTTAAATTTGTTCTCCCGAGTATCATTATTTGAGTTTCAACTCCATCTATAATACTTTGAATAGATCCCTAAAACATATTTAAAATGTCAAGATTAAATAAATGATTATAACTTAACATAATTTTAAGTCAAATAATGGTTACCTCGAGGTAATTGTGCATGCTGATATTCAAAGTTCCCTGATGCAAAGTTTGATTTTTTATCCCATTTGTTATTTGTAAAGGAGACAAATGCTAAATTGTTAATAAAAAAAAAAAAATAATAATTAAATAAATAAAATTCTATTTAGAACATATAAGACAAATATAATTAAATGATCTTTACCGAATCGTAAACAAATTTTTTATCTTTGTTATCAGAAATAGAAACATTCCCGAGCATATCAATTAATTCCGGTGTATCGTTCATTCCTTCAACATATTCTTTAACTATTATTCATCAATAAAATCAATAAATGTTATTTTTTAATGACTTATAACAAATAAATGCTCATAATACCTGAATAAGCCAATATTCCATCTTGTCTAGCTTTTTGTCTATTTTCTACATCATCTGATAAAAGAACAACCTCAAGAAATTTTCCTTTATCGGTGATTTGTTTAACATGAGTTGCATACCATTTAACAGCTGACCTTATAGCTAGCAATTTTAAAATAATAAGTTCCTAGATTAAGTATAAAAATTTTGACAATTTAAGACAAACCTCGATCATTTCTATCATTTGGTGATTCATCTTTCGCACGTTCGATAAATGTTTCCCTTTGTTTTTATAAAAATTGTAAAGTTAAGTTAAAAAACAAAAAACAAAATTAAAATTAAAAACTAAAATTACCGATGATGTTCATTTGAAAACACATAAAATCTTCGGTTTGGATCATTTATTATTGTTTTTAACCTATTATAAATAGGTAAACTTAAATGTCTTAATTCTTCATAAACAGTTTACAAAATAATAATATCCTTTAAAGCTGGGTGCGCAAGTATATCAATCTAACGTGATAAAATAAAATTATAAATATAAATAAATTGTTAATGAAAAATTTCTCTGGATTGAAAACCTACTTGATTAATTAAAATATTTGTGTCCGGAACAATATAATGAGGTTTCAAAACAAGGTTCGTAAAAGCTGGAGAAGAACTTAATATCGGTTCAGTATGAGAACACATTGTACAGCATTCAATTGAGCACCAAATATCGTCACGAAGATAGTGCTCTTTTACGACTTTAAAAGCTTTTCCACCTCGACCGCGTTTGAGATATGATTTATGGTGAAGCATTTTGATATAAAATTGGAAAAAAAAAGTTCATCCGATTATTAATTCTTCTGTATTAAAATCAACTGCCGATCATTACTAAAATAGACATGAATTATAAAAAAAAAGATATTTCTGGGTATTTATTATTAGGGTTAGTATTAGGGTGCTTTCTGATTAAAATAAAATACAAATTATAATATTATTTATTATCTTTTTAAAATTATCATAATAATGCATTTAATAATTCATAATAGTTAACAAATATTTATATACTTAAAATTAATAGTTGAAAAATATAATAATTTAAGTTAAGGTAAAGCAATTTTATAAGAATATAATACACATACTGGAGAAGTATATATACTCTATATTGTAATAAACTTTATATATAAGTTATAAGTTATACTATATAAATGCATTAGCCTTATTTAAATAATTACATTGATTACCTATCTCATATTAGTTA